GTTATATCCGTCCTCTCTTTAGAGCATTTATCTTGATAACCAAAGCCTCAGTTCGATCTTCACTCGAGACATATTTTTTCCACTCAGTTGTTTAGCGAATTTTAGCCACCAATAAACCTATATCTGGTACGGTATTATAGATTAATGATTCCAGTCATCATTGACTGGTGATAGAAAAGTTTACGTCTTGAGAAGAAACATTACAAACAAAGAGATTTGCTGAAACTTATACATTTGCTAGGTTTAAATTCATAACAAGTAGAAAACAAATGGTACAAAATGATTTGTTCTCTATATATGATCATTGTTCGGTTCTGGTCCTGGCCACATTATTCTTAACGGTGTATCATTAATAAATGATTCATCACATGTTCTAGGATGAAAAGATCTATTTAGAATTTCAAAATATGCATCATTGTCATTAACATTCGGGTATATTGATTGTATTTCACGATTTAATACTGAGGATAATACACTTATTGTCAGAATCCCACTGTGCTGACCATTATTTACGAGTCGTTTAACATGTTCCTCGACTGTCTCGTCATCAACTAAATCCAACATCGCATCGTTAACAACCGATGTATAATAATTGTCATGTTGACATAATTCATTAATAGTTTTAACACGAAATTCATCAACCGACATTTGCGGATAAAAGACTTGAAATGCATGAAATAAACAATCACCACCACCTTCAACGAAGATTGGTACTGTATTATGATTCAATACATCAGAATATTGTTCTAGTAAATTCTTTGATACTTCAACAATATTATGATCCATGGCATCAAATTCTGTTACTGGATTATCTGGGATTGTAAATAAATCTAATACGGAACTAATGTCAAGATATTTTAATTTTGTATCTTGATAATCATTGTCTTGATCTTTTAACTTAGTTAACGAAAATAAATAGAAATCTGAGCGAGATTCATTTCTGCAGTTATCACATAAAGATGAAAGACAAAGAGTTTCACATAGTGCACATGTAATGCGATTAAGAGATTCGGATAAACGAACTTCTTCCGTTGATCATAAGTGATGATACCGCTTAAATTTTTTAACAAAGATATGCGATGTAAAAATTGAAAAGTAGAAGAGAGGAAGAAAAGATAAATAAATATCCATCATACTGTTATCTTTTGACCTATATACGTGATGATATTCCGTATCTAATGAATAATAAACAGAACAAAGATAAGGAATGAAGTTGTAGTCAAAAACCATAAATTGCTTGTTTGCTGTACACGCCGGTTTTGAACCAGAAAAAATGCCAATGTTCCTAGTAGTTGATTAACTTTTCTTTTACGATGAAACTATGAACAATTTTGCTGTTTTCAATCCAGAAGATATTGATCTTTCTACAACTCCTTTCGTTGAAATAACCAACGGTCATGGGACATTCAAGTTTCAATCAATAATTAGTATTAAACTTGAAAGAAAAATGATCGGTTTGAACAACCAACAACGGAAACACTTTAAACTAAAATTATACCACAAATACATTACTCAACCACATATTAAACGAAATACATTTTTCAGTATTGTTAACAAAAAGTACAATTTAAGTGGTACAGTTGGTGGTTGCGAGATGTATTTGAAGAAATTTTTGACGATGTATTATTATCACGTTTTTATCCATCATCGTTTATAAATCAAACTGGTATGAAACATTGTCGAGGAATTTTACTGTATGGTCCACCGGGGACGGGGAAAACTTTAATAGCAAGAACCATATGTCAAGTGTTGGGAACACAGCCGAAAATAGTCAATGGTCCCGAGGTCTTTAGTAGGTTGTTAGGTGAATCCGAAGCAAAGATACGAGAATTGTTTATTGCTGCTGAACTGGATGAAAAAAATATTGGAGAAGATAGTGGTCTACATGTCATTTTGTAACTCTAAAACTCGCATGAACGTTTAGAAGATCTAAAGAATTTATTTAAATCATGGACCGAAAGACAGTAGTAAATAAATTGATTCTTTTCCATGGGCAGATAGGTCAAAGTATTTCGTACAGAACGGGTGTCAGACGGGATGCTGGATTCTAGTGGTTCATGTGTGTTATGGGATTTCTTTCGAGCTTCAGCACTGGTATCCGGGGACTTCCGATGATATTGAAATTGCATGAAACATACATATTCAGTCACGCTGAATCTGGTGGCAATGGTCGTTTCCGGAAAAGAATTCCAAAAAAGTTATTTATGCTGCAAGTTTTAGAGTTGGATCTCGGTTTTCCAGCGATCTCTGGAAAATCGGATTTTCAACAAGTTTTGAAAAATTCATTTGTTACATAAAAGTCTGGCGATGTCTTGGCTATCGAATGACGAAAACCATAACTCTGTAGCTATTGTCAGTCCAAAGTTATTTAAAGAATGACTTTTGTAGGCACACGGTAATATACCACTTAAACATCCAATAAATCTAAAAAAATCCGTTAAACTAACTGCTAATTAGTAAATTTTTGAGAAAGCAAGTACAGGATTTTGTAGCGCTTGAAAATCTCTATCAAATGATATATTCCTTCACGATCACCAAGAAATTAGTAAGTTAGAAACAGAGGTGGGATGTACCAGAGTGACGCTAATTAGCATTAATTAGCACTTATTAATTATAGTCTCATACCTTAAAAAAGGAATTTTAAAAGTTCTTTTTGATGAAGCTGTAACAATAGATCTTTGGCTCTCATGCAAGAACGACGCATCTACGATTATTTTTGATCGAACTGCAAGCTTTCCGAAAGGGGAATAACAATTCAAATTTTAATTAGAATTTAAACTTAATTAATTAATAACACTGTCAGTATTTGACCAAATTTTGTTTTATTCTACAGATATACCATTGAAGGTATCCTCTATAAACCAGCCTAGTTTGAGGGTATGTCTAAGGGAAGGACACTCTCCCCTCCCCCATCCCCTTAAGTCCGAGTAATCTATATAGAATCGACAATGAGATTTTCTTTGCAGAACCAACACCGGGAGAGAAAAGTTACAACATTCGTGCACTTTTAATAATCAATTGCTGCAAGCCGTGTCGCTTGTGTTTTCTGTGTATTTTAGAAGTATCAGTTACATATATGTTGGTCTTGAAGATTTGCATGCATCATTCAGAAAGTTAGTAGTACAACATATGAAGGAAAAACGTTATGCTAATTATGGTGATGAGAAATTTATAAATTCCAGTGGAACAGACTATATAAAAGAGAAAAAAAATGGATCGTTTGGGAACATGGGCAACAGAACGAGAGATAATGGCTACATGCGATTTATTGAAAACAAAAGTCTTTATTTTCCAACCTGATAAAAGAAAATGGTTAAGTTGGGCTTCAATATATAGTGAATGTGCGGCTGAAACATATATTTACCTACAAAGAAATATTCAAAAGAACCATTTTGATGTGGTGATGGATGTAGAATAGGTAAACAGCGAAAAGCAGAATTTTTATAATCTACTAAAAAATTTTCCACGACTGCATAGTATCTAATACCGTAAACCTTATAATTCAACACAAACCTACTTGTTTTACGATCGAACAATCTATCGCCAAGTGGGTTCAAAACTAAAGAACACAACGCTAGTTAAGTTTTAAGAAAACCGAGATTTTCAAAAATGGTAACTCTGAGACACAGTGTGTGCACACAATTCTTCTCACCTTAGCTATATGGATTTTGATGCGCTCTTTCGATTGACACCAAACTCACCATATATCATCAAAAATTGTGGCTATCACATAGTTCTGACCTCGGTTAAATCAGCTACAGAAGATGAGAAATGCACTCACTCTTCCGTAAAATCAAATAAACATATAAAGCCGCAACTTTCCGAGTCGAGCGGGCATCGTGAGGTCGATCAGTACTGCGACTTTATGCGTTCTTCCGCGTGTGACAAAAATGGCATTAGAAACGAACAAAGATTGATTTTTCTTGTTACATTTCGCTTTAGCAAAAACAACAAACAATGCCTGGTGTTCAACAATTTAAAACTTTGTACATTTAAATAGTCTTTGTGTTTAATTCTATTACTTGACTCAATAAAATAAATACCAGTACAGCTACTAAACACTAAAACAAATCTCCAAAAGCAAATCATATTTTTGACATGATCTCCACACAAAACTGTGTCGCACGGTGTTGTCAATAGCCGTAGTTGACACCACCTACTCTTTGATTTTGCTTGGCGGTGGCAATAGCTTCTAGTTGACACCTTCTGGTGATGGCAATAGAGCTGCCCAAATTTTAGAGGGTGGAGTGAATAGTAGAAAGTCAAAATTGCTGTGTACTCGCTTTGAACTGTCATGAACTTTTCATTGAAGACGACTTCTTTTCCTTTGTAGATAAAGATTACGGCATAGTATAGTGAGAGTGCCGACTAAAAACTGATTGTATCATGTTCTCGAAGAAAAGTCCGAGTAAAACATGGTGTAATCAAGTCTAAAAAGCGAAGCTAGAGCTATTTACAGCGCGGAAAATCGATGATCGATGACTGAAAATCGATGCATGACTTTTTTAAAGTATGCCCACATGAGTTTCTTGAGATATGCACAGGCCTTTCTTGAGGGATGTGCTTGAATTTCTTGAGGTATGCACATTGTTTTATATATTTCTTCCCTCATGCACACACATACTTCAAGCAACTCAAGCGCACGAGACAAGAAAGTCAAGCACATACCTCAAGCGTTTTGCATGAGTAAGAAATTCATGTGCATGAGGACAAATCTTGAGGCATGTGCTTGCTCATGTGCTTGAGAAAAAAAGCTTCACTAGGATAGTTATTCATAATGGTAGATATAAATATGCAGCTGCTTAATTTATGTCATTTCTTTTTTGTTTCGATATAAAAATAGCCTCTACACATTGTGCATAACCATAAGATATCATATTAGTCATTCATTATAAATTCCACATACATAAAAATAGGTTTGAAATGTACTTTTGTCGTTAATTACCCCCCCAAGAAAGAAGAAACAGTACAGAAATAAACATACTGCTGATGATTTATCGTGCATTCTGGAAAAGGATGAAAGATGACAAATAAAGAAACAAACAAACAAAATATATATTGTCAACTACTTCTTCAACTTTCTCTTTTTTCTTTTTTTTTCTTTTCTTTTTCTTTTACTTGTTGTTATCATTATTATTATTATTATTATTATTACGATAGATATGCTCCATAACATATCCAACATAAAATGGAGAGAGACACTTTTTTTCTGGGTGGGAGTAGTAGAACTATCCTTATTATATATTTATTTGTCTAATAACAAAAGGAAAAACAGAACAACAGTTAACCTCATTTTTCTATTTTTTACACATATATACGACACTACATAAAGTATAGTAGACATGAATTCTGCTAGTGGTGATAATACTAATAATAAAGCAGGAACAATGGAATATGATAAAACAATGTATAAAAAACCGAGTGCAGCAGAAAAAAAAAATCATTTAGCTGGACGTATAAATTTATTTCAAGAAAAAGTTAATCATACACGACAACCATCACCAGGAATTATTGAACATCAAGTTGAGTAAGTGATATTTACTTCAACTTACTTTGTTTTTTTCTCTCATTAATTGTTGCTGATTTTGTTACTTTTCATAGTAAACATCACCATGAAATTGTAGATGAAAGTTTAATGAATGAAATGAGAAATTTATCTCAATTAGTTAAAGATAATGGATTACAAGGTGATTATGCAATACAAATTAAATATGATGATTTAGTTAATGTACGTGAGTTTTATTTTAGCTATTTTCCAAACGATTATAATGAAATTAAGAAAAACAGTTTTTTGTCTTCTGTTAAAAGCATAAACTATTCAAGCATAATTTCTCGGTTTCTATTTTAAAGTTTGATTTCGGAAAAAACTGTGAAAAAGAAGGCTAACATCGTTCTGTAATACACTGAGATTCACTTGCAATCAAAGAAACACAGAACCGAAAAATAAGCTGATAAACTTCTCTCTCCCTCTCTCAAAAACAACAAAATGGTAAAAATGGAGCTTGGTTGTTTCATATACTCTCGATTGTCAATAATCTGAGAATATTAATCGGGTCAAACCGATCAATAAAAAATAAATGAAGGGTAGCCATTAAAAACCGAAAAAACGCCAACTTACTACTCAACGATAACTTGCACCTGACTATCTCGAACTTTCTGAAAAAACAATAACTATACTTTTAGCTAGATCAAATGATGTTGAATCTAATGCATTTATTAGACTTGAGTTTTGGCCATCAAACCTTGCCGGCTAAAAATGCATTTCATTCATTTTTCACCATCTAAGTACAATTTCCATAAGACACCAAAGCATCTTGAAGTATTTTAGAATGGAAGCCATTTTATTCTTCGTCATACCTAGTCTATAACCTAAAAGTTTCCAGGCTATTGGCTAAACAATTTTTGAGAAAATTGAGTATACCAAGGGCTCCATGAAAGCTCAAAAATTCGAATGGACGGGTCCACTTAGGCCTCTTATCATAGGTTTGAAAGTTTTTAAATGACATATTCTTACTCAGAATCATTATTTTGAAGGAGATATCGTTTTTGTTTTATTTAATTTCTTTCTCACAATTATTTTTTTAATAAGCATATGAGTAATGAAATCAATGGGAAAAATAGAGTTTTTGTCTTACATTGATCGCTCATTGTAGAAAATTTTTATGGTCAACTAAATCGACAATGATAGAGATTAGTACTAGCTACTTGTGCGCAGCTAATACAATTGCAAGAAATACTTTGCTATATTCGAATTCAACTACATTTTGTTTTTTGCACTAATAGTTCTCTTTTTCTTCTATCTTATGTCTAAATTAGATATGTAAAAATACTATGAATAATGATAAATTAAACGATTTACTATTAAAAACACGTAAACATGGTTATATACAATTTTCTGGTGATACTTTAAATGAAGATGTTAATATTAAATTAATTAAAGTACCATATTAAAAATACAACAAATGAAAATTGGATCTGCTCACAATTATTTACATATCTGACAATTTACTGCATATTTTGTATCTTTTATTTTTTCAAATAAATAAAAACTGGCAAACTCGTTTAGTTGTTTATATTTTCTATATACAGAGTTATTCACATAACTTTGTCCTTCTTTCATCGTGTTTTATTATTTTTCTTTTTCCTGTGCATTTTTGTTCTTTTCTTTCGTTCTATTACGGCACTGTACAGTTTGTTTCTTCTTCTGCTTTTATTCTAATCATACGAACTGTCATTAGTCTAAAGCATTTACTATCTTTCGATTCATCAGATAGGAATTTCAGCAATAAGAGTATAACTACTGTACCATCTATTTCAAAAGAAATAGAATGGTCGCCGATATTTTTTGAATAACTTTTTAACGCAAAGAGCTAGAACAATGGGATTTTCAGTTTTCGATAGAGAATTGTCTGGGAAATAACTTTATAAAAAAATTGAGGCTACCAATCAGGTCTACCATGATATAGTTCGTCGAATAAAATCTATAAATGTGCGATTTCAAGAAAAAAAAATGGATTTTGAATTCTGAGAAGTTGATTCGAACCACCGGCCTTGCTCTAAACTTCTACACCAAGTCTAAAATTTTGAATTAAACTAAAGTTTTTGTTTTTAACGCTGTTAGCTCTTAGTGCATGATATCACTGGTTAGCACTGGTACTTAGAGTAAGAATATATATATGTACGTAACGAAGGAAACAGAAAAGATAGAACCATAGATATCAGACTATACACATAAAAGACCGAACCTTCGAACTATATACATAATGAACACTCTAGAAGAAAACGAGAAGCAATCACTGTGTACCCTGACAATTGTAAACTTTGTTCTCTGTTCTCTGTCTTGTCTTTTGCTGTTTTTTATTAAATATGTTCATTTTTTAACAGTTCATTTTATTCAAAAATATATTTTAACACATTATTTCTTGTTCTCAGGATACAACCTCAATATCATCGACCACTAGACATATATCTCGAAGTGGTCCTGGAGTCTTTGAAGTGGGGGCCTGATCGGGGAAAATTGAATTTCTCAGCGGCAAACGAAACCCTGTGCACTATAACCTGTAAAATGCAACCTAATCTGAAAAATTATTTAAGCTAATTTGTAGTCTCCTTATACAAATGCCGTCTGGAAATTAGAGTTATATCGAACAATATTTCACCATTTCAATCTAATTGAATTATGGATAATATTTCGTAATTTAAATACAAAAATTAATGCAATTCTCAATCAAACTTTCAGCTCTATATGACACAAATCTGTCGATGTTTTTTGTGTGAAGAGTTCAGCAATAAATCTTGTGCAAAAAAAGATTGTTCCAAATCCCCGCAGAGACAGAGCAATTCAGTGACTTTTAGTAATGAAGATCTTAGCAGTTGTTTCTAAAATTTCTAAAGTTCGACAAGATTTGCAAACGTAGTTCAATATATTACGTAAGCGATCTCTGTTAAAAGTGATTGATTTTTCCACCATTTTCCTAGATCTGACTTCTGACAAACAGAAAATGACAGAACGAAAAAAAATTTCGTTTTATAAAATAGATGAAAATAAATGCATAAAATTACTTTATTCATCACCTACAGATTCTTCTGCTTGTAGGAGAAGAATATTGCTCAAGACAAACGTGTTTGTTCTTGTTAGTTTTTTCCAACAGGGAAAAAGAGGATTCAGGGGTATTCTAAATATCAGAAATATTTGCAAATATTAGAGAATCCCTAAAATTACATGAAAATACTCCTGCATATTTATATATATATATATATATATATATATTATAGAAAGACCCACTACTAATCATCTTAAAACTCTCTAATCATCTTAAGATTTTCAGAAGGAAACATAATTGAAGAAACGAGACAAAAAAGGGGAAAAACAGGTAAATTTCTTAAACACTTTTGATAAACAAGAGTTCTTCATCCAAATCAGTTTTTTTCGAAAAGAATGAAGATATTACTCATTTACGAATCTTAGATCAGTGGATTTTGACTGATAAGGTACCGTTGACAGTTCAGAACGTCAACGGATGAGATGCAGTTGACAGTTTAGAACGTCAACTGATGAATTACCGTCGACAATTCAGAACGTCAACTGATAAAATATCGTTGAGAGCTTAGAACTTTAATCACTACGGCTACACCCTGAATCAACAATAGCAATTTATGAAAAACAAGATGCCATTTTCTGGAAAATTGTTGCATTTCTAGGAACCTGTTAATTTTTCAGAAACTGGGCGATTTTATGGAAAATCAGGCAATAGCTTGAGA